TAACGGTTTGGCGTTGGGTAAAAACTCTAGCAATATTTGTTGAAGATATTGTTTGTGCTTCAAAGATTGTAATTTTTACTGAAAATGAAATTGTATTAACAAATATATAGCCCATTGTTAATAAAATTTAAGTGTGCCACTCTTTTATTTATGTTTTTGAAAAAAATAATAATAAAACAAAAATTCACTCTGTCGACGTATTAAAGTTTTCGTCACGAACTCAACTCAGTTTATTCTAAATGATATAGTCTATGTACTTTTCAGCTGTGAATATCAGTAAATGTGTGGTATTTCATATTTTCAACTCATTTAATGTCAGTATTCCGAACTGTTATCATTTTGAAATGGCATCGTTCTGTAGAACAATTTGATATCAAAAGCAAGCATTTCAACGTATTTCAGCTACTATGTCACCCCTATGAAACTATTAAGAAACAGTTGGTGATGGTATTGCGGCAGAGTCGGACTACTTTTAATGCTATCAATTCCTACAAAAGTGAATTGATGGATGTAGCCGTTACTACGGGTTAGGATATCATAATGAAGAAAAAAGAAATGAAATTTTCTGTTTTTTACCACTTTTATTTGTAACTAACGTTACTGCAATTCCGTCCTATACGGACGTTTTCAAACTTATACATGGAAGTTCCATTTCAGGTATTCGTTACGTGTTCAGAGATAGAGTGTCCATAAACGCTCTATTACCTACTACTTAAATGTTGTTGAGTTTTACCCGAGTTCTTCTTCTTCTTAGTTGACCTCATCTCCCCGTTAAGGTATCGAATGTTAAATCTGAAGTTCTCACGGATAGGACTATGCTGATCAAATATCTGGAAAAACTAGTTCATCTCGCACTTCTCGATGTGTTGATTATGAAAAAGCCGGACGGTACACTAGGCCACATGGTATATCGAACGCCAACACACACGAATAGGTACCTAAACGCAAATTCACAACACCACCCAAAACAAATTCGCGCGGTGGCAGAAACACTGATTACACGTTCGAGAAGGCTGGCAGACAACGATCACAAACAACAAGAGTTGAACACCATCGAAACAACCCTACAAATGAATAACTACTCAGAAAGAAGTATGAAAGCGGCTGCCAAGACCAGACGGAAACAACATAAAACTCGAGATACATCGGTCATAACAACCACACTACCATATATTGCAGGAACAACAGATGAAATCAGCAGAATTCTTCGCCGACACAACATATCAACTTCATTCGTACCAGAACAGACAATAAGGTCCATGCTTCGTAATCCCAAGGATCAGATACCACTGGAGTCACAAGGAGTGTATGAAGTACCATGCCATAATTGTGACAGGACTTACATCGGCCAGACCAACGGAAGAATCAACATAGGCAAAGATGAACACAAACTAGCAGTGAAGGGAAATGTCAACACGTCTTCTCTCTTCCAACACGTACTGCAGACAGGACATAACATCAATTTCGATAACACAAAAATACTAGCAAGCAACGAAAACTTTTACTCGCAATCAGAGAGGCTATCGAAATTGAAAAACGACCTAATAATATGAACAAGAGGAATGATGCGCAAAGATTATCATCAACATGGAGATCCGTTTTATCGCTTCGCACAAGCAACTGATTGCTTGTGGGGTTGAGCGGTCTGAACCGCTCAACCCCAGAAGCAAAACTCGGCACATGACAATACAGGTACAATAACAGAGGCAGGAGAGGCAGCTCAGGTAATAAGACCAAAACAGGTAGTCGAGCAAACACAAGTAGTGGCAGCAACGCAGGTATAGGGAAACATCCATCTCTATAAATTGAGACGCAGAGTTCGAACTAATCAGTATGGTTGAAAAAACCAAACATCACCAGAAGATGGCAAATGATACTTTGCCGAAACGTTGTGAAAATAATCCTTATGGGGATAAAATACACAGAACACGAAGCGAAACCCGAGAAAACACCTCATCATACTTTATCCGTGAGAATCTTCGAGTTATTCCATGAAAATCAGAAGATAAATGAATAAGTACCATTCTGATCATTCCCATATTGATTTCAACTTAAGAGCCACCGGTAGACAGTTATTGGGCATCATCAGTACCGGGCAGGCGGTCATCGATTGAAGACAAAATGTGAAAAACCAAGAAAAGTACTTATTAAAGTAGGATGTAGTATCAGCTACATGATCATGTAGACAGGTATAGCTACCGGCGAAACATCTAGGTCTGGTATACATGCAGTTTCTTTTATCATGTGGTAACATCGCTAAACCGTAACTGATACGAACACGATTAAATGGGAGAAAGGTAACTGTCATCGGGAACAATACAATGATCGAAAAAAATTTACGGGGACTCTCGCCCGTCTCGAGTTATACGGAGAAAACCAAAAATGCTGTTTTTTCGAATGGAATTGTTATTTCGGAGAGTATAAAAAAAGGAAAATAAACATGTTATTGTATTCGAAGTGTATTATGACGATGTAATAATAAATAATCAATCGATAAAACGTTTACTGTTAACATTGCCACCATCAACTTTTTTTTAATATGGACCTGCTTTTTTTGTTACAGATATTGATAAAGCAATCAATTCACAATCCAAGGGTATATCAGATTTTATACCGTTTCTTTTGAAATAAATACCATCATCAGTGACAACAATTTCAAATTAGGGTCCTGTCGTTACTTCTTTTGTGAATTGTTTCCATTTTTTGAAAATATAATTCAGACAACCCAATAAATTTGATAGGTAGGTACCCCAACAATGGAAATTCATACTTTTTTGTTTTGAAAATTATTGTATTGCCATAATCCTTTTTTTCAAGGCTCATTTCTCCCTAATCAATTATAATTCGTAATATTTTCATAATTCTTAATCCTGAAAGTAACGAAATATCAGTTTTTGGTCAAAAATATTTCGTTGCATAATTTGGTATGATCAAATAGCATCTCAATTCATTTACCATCTTGAACGCGTAGGCTCTGCTTGGTTTTTATGGCAGGAAAAATTAATGTTGAATTCACGTTGATCTGTTTAAAATCTGTTTTTCCGTTAATCAGCTGTCGCCCCTATACGCCCCCTCAGAAGTTGAGAAACTTGTGCGAGCTAAGGACTAACAAGGCCTTACCTTTTAACGTGTGATTCCTAACACGGATAGAGCTAGTTAACCAAAAAATCTGTTTCTTAAGTATATATAGGTCTCCTATGGGTGACACTGATATCTTCCTGAGTGCATTAAATAAAGTACTGGATACGATACCTTCTAATAATCAAGTTGTTGCGATTGGCGACTTCAATTCAAATTTTAATGTCTGAGACAACATAAATGTAAACGATTGTATAAATATTTTCTAGTCACACAATTCAAAGGAAAAAGTTAATGAAAATACACGAGTAACTAGCACTAGTGCTACAAGGAGACAGAGGAGATCTACTATCGGTGCAATCTGTGAAATGTATAAAAATATTCTAGAAGCTTTTGAGGAGCGTAAATTGGGCTGTGCGAAATTTTATGACATGTCCAAAGCGTTTGATACGGTGGGCCACGGTGTATTATTATAAAAATTAGAATATGATATCAGAGAAAAAAAATCTATTTACATCCTACCTCGCAGGCCGCCAGCAACGTGTACCACAGGGTTCAGTCCTAAATCCAGTATTATTTATTATTTACAACGTAATGCATGTGTCTCCTATAATGTACGCTGGTGATGCAACTTTCTTGATGAGTGACACTACGCCTGAAAATCTAATTTCTAACGCTAATACATCTGAAACATTTTCAGCAAACTGGTCTAGAAGCAATTATTTCACTATAAATGATGATAAAACCAAAACGTTAGATTTCTCATTTGAGAATAATATAAAAAATAATGAACCAGTCAAGCTTCTCGTGGTATATTTGACTCATCTCTGAATTTTTTTGACATATTCACAAATTATCAAAGTGACCATACACGTGTATATACATGATAAGACAACTTAGCAACATAATAACAACGGATTGTTTGAGAGTAGCTTATTTCGCCATTTTTCACAGCATAATGACACATGGACTAATAGTTTGGGGTTCATCATAGTTAAGACGTAGAAATGGAAATGTTGAAAATATTTGTCGAAAAATAATATGAACTGACGAATCAAAATTCAGCAACAATGGTTGGTTTAACAGAAATATCCATTATAGGTGGAAAAATACAAATGAACATTCACATGGGGAAACCAATTTCCAAAAAAGGTTCGAAATGAATGTTTGGTTGGGAATTGTAAGAACAAATATTCAGAACATTTTCTATTCAGAGAATTCGATGGCTACTTAGATGTATTATCCGCCATGAAATATAATATTTTCAACTAGACGGCGTTCCTCCCCATAATGCAGCAATGGTTTTTTCAACACCAAGTACAGACATCGACCATCTCAAACAAAAATTGTATGTATTAGTATTACACCTATTATGCTAAAAACTTACCACAGAAATTGTCTGGACCAACAACTTGCCATGTAGCTCTGATTTTCCGTATTGGTTTCGTTCTTCCCAAAATTTCATGATACAATAAATTGTTTTTATGTTTGATTGTTGTCACTGATGGTATTGGTTATTTCAAATGAAACGCTATAAAAATATCAAATGTGATATACCCTCGGATTGTGAATTTATCGCTTTATCAATATCCGTAATAAAAAAGACAGGTCCGTATTCTAAAAAAAAGTTTTGGTTTCCTTTGAATAACTCGAGAAGGGCGAGAATACCCGTAAATTTTCTTCGACCATTGTATTGTTTTCGATGACAGTTACCTTTTTTCCATTTGATTGTCTCCGTTTCTGTTACGGTTTAGAATATAGCAATGTTACCACATGATAAAAAAAAACGGCCTGTATATTCGTAACTTTCGAAAAATGTTTATGAGTGTGTCGGCCTGAATCAAGAAGCAGAACAATTTGAGACTCATTATTTACTTTTTCATATGTATAACTTAATTTTTTTACTCAATGGCAGAAATATGTGTTTTCATTTGCTTTTTACTCACAATCAGATAAACTTAGTAGACCAAAAATTAGTGAACATATGAACGTGTGACATATTAGGTCTAAAGCAAATCCAAATGCTGAACTCGTTGAAATCAACATGAACCAGGCACACGTATGATTGTCTTGGTGTCTATCAAATTCCTCCTTCAAAATATCTTCAGCTTTGTGAGCTCTAATTGTTGTTAAACCTTGCATTGTTGAGGTGAGATGTGTGAAAACTGGACTCAAATCTGAAAAGCATTATTTAAGGAAATATCATAACGTGTATACTGTGTATACTCACTTTTTGCTTCAAGTCTCTTGAGGCATGTAGATGTTTTCAAGTAAATATTTCTGATACGGGTGAAAACAAATCCAAGAATTGCAACTAATATTATAATGAAAGGATTAACGTACATCACTATCACCAAATGCCCAACCATTTTGAGAAATATCTGAAAGGCATATATACCGTTTGTGATGATTCCAATATTTCACTTGCAAAATAAAAAAAATCACTTCAACCTCAATGACTTTGTTTGATCAGGATAAAAAATTTATATATACGACATTTCAGTTGAAGAAAAGGAAGAAATGAATCGACAATGAAATCAACACCTGAAACGTTTGCCAAAAGAACTATGAATGACATCTGAGAAAAATAATAGTGAATATTCAGGTGAATTATTTCATCTTCAATTTTCATCTGCACACACTCGACTGTCTGCATTATACAAGCTGATGGAGTTGTGAAGGAGTTCCAAGTAAAGTTTATAATAATAATTTCTGTGAGTAGCTTCAAAAATGTAATTAATAAAATAAAGAAGAAATAATACGTTATCAACCTGAAACGGAAAGTGAAAAAAAATCCCAACTCCATGAAAATATCAACCCCATACATGTTTTGAATTTTAATAACTATGAAACTAGTAACGTGGGTTACGTACAATGAATAGATAGATGAGTACAGCTCATATTATAAGAACATAGGCTGTCACGATCGGAGTCACGATTAAAAAGACCAAAATCCAGGCTGGTAGGCCATGATCGAATGGAACCTGAAGAGCAAAACGTTTCCTCTGCCACTGCGTCAGTACGTTGACTGTGAAAATGAAGATCGTTGCTAACCTTCGTCCTCGGAGTCAACGCACATACTACTTATTATGTCGACCGCAGTAGCAGACAAAACCGTATTTCAGGTTCCATTCAAACACAACCTGCCAGTTCGGATTTTGTTCTCTGTGAATAGTACATTTTTTATTAACCCCTTTTATGTGAGTTTATTCTGCCATTTCGAAATAAATCGAGTCACTATATTTTATACCTATTGATATTTCAGATTTTATTATAAATGTTAGAATTTTATTGTATATTTTTTCATTGAGTGTACCTAAAAAGACTGTTAACAGTAGATATTATTTGCAGAGCAATGAAATCATCAAAAACATGTATAACAGGAAGGTACTTCTTTACTGATACATCAATCGTTGATGAAAAATGAATTTGAGAAACATTTTGTATTGTTTTTATGTTCAAGAGATATATGTTTAAAATATGTTTTTTCGGTAACCAGGTGTCGCATCCCTACGATAGACAACCTAGAAGTCGAAACTTCTACGAGCTAAGGACTAACCAGGTCTTACCTTGTAAAATGTGATTCCTAACATGGGTTGAACGATAGCAAATGAAAATCGATCGCTCAGCCTGCGACTTGAACCACCGACTCACACATCGGTCGATGGATGATAACTCCATAAAAAAACACTTAACCTTCCGATTAATTCAATCTAATGATTTTAAATGCAAATTGAAGACTAAAACTTGAACTAGTTCCAAGTTCATAATTTTTGAATACGTTATATCAAACACAACTGCGATTTGTTGATCAATCGGAAAAGTACGAAATTCATAGGGTAAATCATTTTACGATTTCTGCGATGAATACTTAGCCTTTGATTTGTCATTTCTTTGGAGTTGAATGAAACTGAAATAGTATACTCACCCTGGATGCATTGAATAATATTTTGGGTAAAGTTTCATCAATTACATTGATGTCTTTGGATAAACGGTTCAGAATCTTTCCTGCAGGATTGGCTTCAAAGAATCTCAAACTGGTGTGAATGATGCTTTCGAAAACTGATGTATGTAGATTAGATGAACAACTCAAGAGAAATCTATGAAACAAAATAGATCTGGATAAGGTAGTGATCAAGCAAAATGTTGCAATTCCTCCGTAGATATAAATGTATGTTTCAGTAGCCCAATTCTTGTAGTACATTGGAAAATCGTTCTGACCTACATTTTTATTTTCCTCTACATTTGTCCAGAAAGTCACGAACCAGTCTAGCATGTTGTTTGATCCTTGTGCAACACACATCAAGAGGAAAAGAAATATCATTTGATAAGATTTCATACCTGATGAAATATAGTGATAAAGGAGAGATCCTCTGGCTTTTCCTCTATTCATGTCATTCTCAATTTTGTTTTTATTTCCAGGTATAACATTTTTTGGTAATTCAAAGTTCCTTCTATCTTCTTCTCCGCCATTCTTCGTCAAAATGTTTTTTTGAATGCCCTGAAAAATATAAGGATTGAATATAAAGTTAGTCAACAAACCAATAGTTAACAGGAATGATGGATTTAATGAATTTTAGATATTTGTAACAGTTATAGAATTATTTATATTTTCACCTGCATTGCGTGTGTCTGTAATATTCAAAGACGATATCTAAAAACATTTAAATTGATGGATGTAGCCATAACTACGTGGTAGTTACCTGAAAAATGGGAATTGAAACTTTCTTTGTTTTTATATGGTGAAACACTCAATTGTTGGCACTTTAAGGAAACTCCATACTTGATTACGTCGTCATAAATAGCTCCTCAACATATGTAATCATCATTTTAGTTCATGGTATATTCATTATAAGTCATAATTTTCATCTCTTCTATTTTTGAATCAATTGGATTAAGAATAAAACTGGGTTGAATAATGTTTTGGGAGTTTTTCCATTCATTGGCATCTTAGTCTAATGATTGACCCCAATTAATTGACATGATCAACTAGTTATTCACTCCCCAGTTATTGGCATCCAAATCTTACAGACAGAATCTAATATTTGATATTAGCCTCTGTATTGAATTGCTTTTCTTCATAGAAATTACTGAAAAAGTCGAATAACTTTCAAATCTCTTTATTGTTTCCACTCATTTATTTTGAACTTTCTTCAAACAAGTACCACAAGTAAAATATTCTATGAATAAATTATGTTTTTTAGGCACCTTGCATGGTATGCCCTCATATATTTTTGGCATTTGATACCAAAATTTGCTAAAGAAAATTGATTTGAACATATGAAACCAATGATTCATTATCGTATTGTTTTCTGGTGGATAATGATTTAAAACCGAAGTAACCACATTCATGTCTGTTTCTTCAAATGATAACTTCTTAATGTGATATTCTGAGGTTAGGGAATGCTTGTCAGGAATAGAGTTCTCCTCATAGAAATGTTCTTCTGAGGATGTGAATTCGATCGAATTTCTTTTACTGCTATGTTCATTTCCATCTGGTAAGGGAGTATTTTTTTTTCACACGCGGCTGATTTCAGAGACTCCTTAGAATTTTTCTTTGGTTTAATAATTATGATTTTTCTCTGATTTGCTTTTGTTCTCAGCTTCTTGACTACTTTGTCTTCTCCTTTTTTTTCTTTTTCCAGCTTGGCCTTTTCTTCATCTTCCTATACTTTTTTCCATCCACTCGAAGTTATGACATAAGGTATTCGTTACGTTGTTCGTTTTCCTTTTCTTTCAGGTGACTTGGGCCACAGGTGATGAGTCTTCAATTTGTTATTCACACAATCTCCCGTGTGAGATGTGGTTTCTCCTGAATAAGTCACAGCTGGTTCTTTGATCATCGTATTATCTACGACCGTCAGAGAATAAGAAGTAGCGCTTGGAATTTTTGTTGTTAATTGAGTATATTCTAGATGAGTAGAGGTATGATCTGCCGAAATGAAAATCGACATATAATTTTTTTCAGTCTCTGTCGGATAGCTATCAACAACAGGAAGATTTTTGTCCTTCGTTGGATTCACCTCCACCTTGATGTTTCATCAAGGTCCATATTATTATCCGATATTTCATTCAATTTAGTACCTTCATTATTATTTTCTGAAAAAGTGTCATTGAAAACCACAATGGATGTCTCAATTACTAATTGATCAACTACAAACTCTACATCTTTATCGGGTGAAGGTTCGACCAGAAACATTTCTGATCTTTGAGGAACTGATTTGTCAGTTATATTCTCTTGATCAGGAAGATCATCGATGATAACCATATCTGATGATTCACGTATTCGATGATCAACTTTAATAACATTGAATTTATGGAATATTTTCTGCAATACTCTGAAGTGTCTCATCTCCTCTCGGATTTCTTCGATCAATTTTCCTTGCTTCATTTCAGCAAAGGTTTTAGAATCACAGAAATCAGTGAATTCATCAAAAGTGGGAGACACATTATTGTCTTCAGGAAAAATAACAGAATTTGTCTTTTCGGCTTTTTGTTTACAAGACATTTTGTATAATCAATCGCATTACCATTCCCTGGAAAAAGGCATCAAGCTCTAAATCCATTCGAAACTTGTAGCGAAACGTGATTTCCACAGCGCCACTTCGTTATAGAACCCACAATACATTTCAATGTGCTCTAGGCAGGGCTACGATTAGCAGCTCGAGAAAGGTTTTTCAAGGCGAGTTTTTTTAGTTCCACATAAAAACGGCAACGGCTATTTCGATCGTGGATACTGCAAAGGCCATTTAAAAGTCAGAAAAGATCGACACATTGATGAAACTGTTTTCGTGCTTTTGGTTGAATAAAACTCATAATATTATTCTTTTGATATTTGGTTGGTGCCTGCACTATTTTAGGTAGGTAAGGATATAAAATTCAAGTGTAAATCTAAACGTGCAGTATTTTAGTTTTGTCAAGTCATCTGAGAATGAACAGTCTACCACATTTCTGCTTTTCACTACAAAGAGCCAGGTTTGATCCACTACAACCCTGAGATACCATACGATCCATTACAAACTGTATTTGTTTTGAGCTGAATTAAAGCATCTTCTAGGATTGAAGCAAAATTTACTTCGGTGAGTTGCATAGGTATATGGATTATTCCTTCTCCAATTGATCACTGCTTTTTCCAAATCGTTTTTCAGTTCAAAATGGACATGTCAGCCGTTAGGATATAACGACACAAGAGTTATCTACAAATTGCCACACAATTGACTCATAAGTGTGGTAGGTTTTATGACCATCAACAAAAGATATTATAGGAAATTCAACTTTCTGTTTCACCGAATGTGGTTGTTATAATAACTGAAATACATTCGTAAAATACTTGAGATTTCATCCATCCGTTGTCAATAATTCCAATGTCCCATTCCTTTGGAACGCTTTCTGCTACATTCTTGGGTAATCTTTTGTAGGGATATATTATCATAGATGGTGTTGTAGATCCAAAGGCCGATAATGTGAACATTACCGTGATGTCCCATTTTGATGGACCTTGTTTAATTTGATAGACATATTTGCTCCTCTTGAAGCAATCACTTCATCTTCTTTAGGGCACAACATAAAACAAGTTTCGTCCCCATCATAAACCTTTGTAGCAGTGTTGCTGGCGGGCAAAATTCAAAATCACCAAATCTGTGACACAAAAATCACCAGATTTGAAAAATTATCACTAGATTTCAGAAATTCTGCCTATTGAACAAAAAGTTATTGGGAAATTGTAATGCATTTATATCAACAATAAACCTTTTTCAAAATATTTAACGTAATTAATGGTCCAAGTGTAATAATTTCAGCTATACTTGGAGGATGCAAAAAATCGAAGAACTTTAATGCTTGCGCAAAATATGAATTGAAAGAAAAACGTTTCATGATTTGGCTAATAAATTCCAAATAAAACTACAGACATCTTTTTCTTAATTCAGATTTTACCGAATCATTGAATGCATCACCTATAAATTTTGCTGCCAATTTGGATCCTAAATGTATGGCCTCTAACTTTAAAAATAGCTAAACTTGTCCTTCACAAATAATACCTAAAAACTTATCATTATCCATGGATTTCATCGTCTTTATTTCATTTTCCTAATTTTGCATTTTGATATTTTTTATAATTTATAAAGATTCAAAAGAAAATAGGTTAGGTTCAGTTAACATTGTTAGTATTTAAATTATGAACAGAACCACAGAACTCAGAAGATATGTGATTGAACATAGAACTCATATAATCATATGCTATACAAGTGGTATGAGTTGATTAAGTTGTGTGAATTTATGCTTCATGCCCATGATAATAATGCGAGGTTGTCGTTTTCAGTTACCGGGCTATGCGAGCGACAAGCTTAGCGTTCTTCTCTTTCAATTTCAAATTCATCATAAACAAATAAAAATAACCAAAATATCACAGAATATAAAAAATAATCACCGAATCACCATATTGACATGAAAATCACCGAATCTGGTGATAAATCACCAACATTGGCAACATTGCCTTGTAGGGTCTTCAAAGATATTAATTTTTTTCTTTCAAATAGATTTCAATGTTTTTGAACCATTTTTTTCTTCTTCTTCTTCTCTGAAATATTTTGACTCGCATTTGTGACGCCTTCTGGAATTCGATTTGATAATTTTTTATATCTTTGTATATAGCATTGATACCAATGTTCTCCAGGTAATCTATCTTTGAATGGTGTTGGTCAAGAAAAATTGTCAAGAAATGATTTTACAGAGGCTTGAATGTCATCTTTCCTCTTCAGGAATCCCTTTCTATGGCTCTGAAGAATCCACGATTGCAATAGATTTTCTTCGTCCCTTGTCATGTTCAATTTTGTTGAATTTTTCACTCAAGCGGAACTGAAGTGTAGATCTGGGAATACCATATTTTAAAGATGCTTGCTTTTTCTGCATTCCATTATTGATATCTTTCAAAGCAGCTTAAACAATTTCTTCAAGGTAAGATTTGGAATATTTCCGATTTTTCTTCACTTTGGGCATCGTTGATGACCTGAAAGAAGAAGTGCCAATCACTAATTTTCGAAATTTTTCATATAAAACTATTGATTGGCACCAGTGACAATCAATAGAAATGTTCGATTCTTCAAAACTGTCACCCTTATAATTACGTAAATCGAGTAGAATCGCTTCATTCAATAAAGAAACAATGTGTATCGACACCTCTACTTACTATATGAATGGAAAGCTCATCACAGGCCAGAACAAACACGTACTTGCAGGTACACTATTCCGTCAGCAAGCTACCGAAAAACATAAAATCGTACCGTTTTCTAACAGGCCCACGACGCATTTACGATTACTGACGCCACTTGAGAATGACACCTTTGGTGAAGTCGGTTTCCTACACAGGGATGTTGCCAGATTTCAGATCAAAGACAAATTTCTAGGGAAATATCCAGAAAGCTTAGTAAAATAAAGAAAATATGATCAAGGGCCAACAATTGGGTCAGTCCCAACAATTGAATGTTTTAACCTACCACTTGTATTTGTATCTAACGCCATACAAGAACATTTTCAGTTTATTGTATTCGTTTGAAAATATCCTTCATAGTCCTCCATTCGAAAGTACTACTTTTGTTGTGGAATATTTTCAATCGGGTGATCCTATCCAAAATTTCCAAAATCATATACCTACGCTGTGAACACTGAATATTTAATGACATATACCACCGACACATTCTGTAAACCTTATCGAGGATTTATATATATAGAGGAAGGTTATTTTCTCAAAGGATAATAGATTACTTAGTTCTCGTTTTGAGAATTATACTGTTATCCCCAATAGAATATATATCTGTGGTACCTCTCAATGCCGATCATCAGAAAGAAGTACCTGTCCAGTTAGGAAACATAATCTATATTAAAAAATTCTTTCATTTTCAATTTATTTAAAGGCACGTTGAAATGGTATTCACATAACAAACATAATTTGAAAGCAACCGTTGCGTTGGCTGAAACTTATATGGTTTCCAATAATTTGTTGATCCCCCTGCTATCTACCATCAGAAGTCCCTTGGTTATTTGTGTTTGTCGGACCTTTTGTGAGTTCATAAAAAGATGCATAGAAAAATTCGTAGGTATATTTGAAAATTTCGTATCGATAGTTCCATTCTGGTTTTCTCATGATTTTTTTTCGGCTTTACCTATCTAACCAAACGTGATAGCGATGGCGCATATATTATTTCAGCCACCTTAATTCAAAACCAAGGATACTGTAGGCATACCATGGCAGGAGTCACATGACTCGGTGGGACGTCTTATATTCTGTTTTCTATGGTGAGCGTTACCCATTAACATCGTGGGAATCGTTCTCCAATACTTTCCCGATATGGATATATGATATATACCGGGTGACAACGAAATAATTGTACACGGCGTAAGTTGTAGGGTGAGATATTTGAAATTCATAACAAGATTATATTTCATTTCCTATGCGATATTTGTAATAATGAAGCAATCTCTTCTATTCAGTCTATTTAATCTATTCTAGTGTGAATGGAACTCAAATCAAGAAAATATAAATAAAACACTGTGAAACCCCATATGATAGTATATAATTTTTTTTACACAATATAATACAAATATCCATTTTATAGACATATTTTCTTCATATTCGATTCAAGACGACGCGACGTTTGTTCAGATTGAGAAATTTTCAGCAATTCACGTACTTTTTGAAAATTAATTCCTCAAAGCTCAATGGGAAGATGTAATATTTGATCTTTAAAATGACAAAGAAATCATCATTCAGTGTCAGTGGAGAGGTGGTGGAAATTTAATACTTATACAGTCTTTTATCAGCACAAAAAATGAACCGCGTGGTATTGTTAACATTTTTTTGCAGTGAAAGAAGTTCACTTCAATGTCAAAGTTCAAATAATACCACTGTCTATAAAAAATCAATGAAAATCAAGTAAAAATTTGCTCTATAAAATAAAAAATACGTGAGAATTTGATTTTTTTTCCTTGAATACTTTTTAAGCTCCATTTTTGTTTCCCACTATAATGAGTTGTTTGATAATTTTTCAAAGAATTTGGAGTGAATGGCACCTTTGTCATCATTTTGAATAGAAATGATTTGAGATATCGTTGAAAAGAGAATTTTATGTTTATACAGTCCTATTTAAAATTTTTGAAAATTTTTGAATACATTTTTGAAAAAAACTTTGTCTGACGTCGTATTCATATATTGACTTTAACGATCATTCTAGATCGTGAAAACATAAATATAATGTGCACTAAACCATATTGAAGAGTAAATGAAATATGTTATGAAGTCGTTGCGTGAAGATATGTTTCTATACATCATTTTTCAGGACAATATGTTGAAAAGAATATGAGAAATATAAAATTTACAACTTACTCTTTCATCATTCGACAGGGTTTTGTTGTCAGAAGTATCTTTATGAGTGAAAAGAAATTTTGCATATGACAGATTATCTTGGGATAAGTCCTCATATGTTCCACGACTTTCAATACGGCCCTGAAATAGTGTAAGTCATGAAAAATATCCGTCAAATGATTGAGTGATCCAACTCACTTCTTTCAGAATAATGATGTTGTCAGCATTTTTCAAATAGTGAACTTGATGGGTCACTAATATCCTTGTTTTGTATTTGAGAAATCCGTTGATACAACTCTCATATAACTTCTTTGCTACGTGGACGTCGACAGCAGAAAGTGGATCATCGAGTAGGTATATTTCCGCTTCCTTATATATCGCTCTTGCCAAACTGATCCTTGCTTTCTGACCTCCGCTTAAAGATGCCCCAGAATCTCCCAAAAGAGAATTGTCTCCATCAGGAAAATGATCGAAGTCTGTCTCTAAGTCGCACACACGTATGACCTCGTTATACCTCTCTTTGTCGTATTCGGATCCAAATAATATATTCTGGCGAATAGTAGCAGGAAATATCCACGGATCTTGCGAAGCATAAGAATATGTTCCAACGTGTTTTGTTTCTCCATTGACGATATGTAGTTCTCCTGTAAAGTCATTGAAAGTTCATTATTGCATTGAGAAAACAGTATTGTCTGATGGACCGTATACCCATTGATTCCACAGAAAACGGTGTACTTGCGACAATTACAAATCCACTTTCGGTAATCAAGTGATATCTATTATTGACGAGAATATAAGAACTCATTGGATTCAAATGTATTATTGAAGTATTATACGTAATTGTAAGTCATTGATACGTTCTAAGTAGAAAGTTTTGTCGTTGATTTCAATATATGCATGATTTGATTGAAAGGAATATTGAGTTATTCAAATTATTACTTGCATCGACGTGAAAAAATAACTGATATTGGAGAAAGTTATTGTATATGGCTAAATGGCAAGTGTCTTTTTCAATGAATCTCTTAGGTATTTTCTCCTCACACAATATAACTTCTCATTCACTGTGGTGAATGGGAAATGCTGCTGGAGTGACTCAGTTTGCAAGAGAAGAATTCAGTTTACGACCAAGCGCACCGTTGGGATTCTAGCTCAGAAGTATTACGTCAGAAGAAAGAAACTAGATAATGCTAACTCACAAACTTGCCCTTTGTATGTGTCAGTGAATGCAGACCTTAGACAACATTAAGATACCGAAATGACTAAAAACTTCAGGACTTAAAATACCGTAACCTATGCTAGTGTTATCCTTCTTCAAGAGTATGTGTATCAAATATTTCATTGTATTATTTGAATGAGACGAAGAACTCACGCAGGAACTCATCGGATCCCCTATCTATCACGTACAAGAAACCATACTCTTTACCGCAAACCATGTGAGTGAAGGTGATTCTGGAAAAAAGTAACCTGGACACATCCGTATTCACTGCACATTGTCAGGCTAGATATAATCGAAGTAGCGTCGGGAAGAACGGAAGAGTCAAAAACGTCTGCACATTTCTATCAGATATGGCAACCAGGCTGAGCGTGATTTCAGCCATGTCAGAATCAATTAACGACGGCCAGCAGCGGCTGACGTTATCTTTCTTTCAGGAAATTATTCACAATACTACCCCATTTCGTGAGGCTGTTCGCCCCGAACAACATTTCAAGAGGGAACATCACGACTTATGTGAGGACTCAGTGTTTCTATGCCGACAACTCTAGACTTGCGTCTGTGTGATAATTGGATTTTGTACACCAGATCGTTTATCAAGTAAGGTCCCCGCCATGGTCCCTCCAATTTGAAACACAAACTTTTCTGACTTTGAATTTGGTAGAGCCACACTGCCTCTCGACCATTCCATCAGGCTGTGGGTGAAGAGCAGTTGTTCTAGTCTTCTTTATTTTCCAATGAAATCATAATATCTCATAAATCCAACTCGAAGTTGAGACCCTGATCTGAGTGTATTTCCTGAGGACTGGCGATGACGTCCTGCAATAGGGCTTCTGCCACCGTTTTAGCATCTCGTTTTGGTGTTGGCAGTGGTCCCAGAACTTCAACTGCGATTCTTTCGGAACGGCACCCACTGAGGTACTGTTTCATCATTCCTATTTGTCTTGTTTTCGTACCCTTTTTCGAAGAGCACAGACTATATATATGAATTATGAAATCATCATACCCATTGAAAAATTACATTTATATGAAGGTATGACATTTGTTTAAAAAAATCCATCAATGTTTAACTTTCTTTCGTCGATTAATATGTTCAATTCATTGTTTTTTACTCATTTTTACTGTAAGTATGAATTGTGATGTTATTCATTGGCAAAAAAACCCACAAGTCAATAAATTATAGGCCCTGAAGAAGCTTCCCATTAGAAGCGAAAGCTTGGCAAAGTAAAGCAAAGTTTTGATTTTTAATTTTTTGACTGAGAGACCCCGTTAATTTACTTTACTGTACATATCTCCAATCGCTAAGATTCACAGTACCTGTTAAATTTGTTAGTTGAAGGTATTTCTGAAGTCTAAAAGTATTAGAAACTCACCAAATTCAAAAGCTAACATCATTGGAAAGTGAGTTCGGGCAGAAATTTTCTAGTTGAAAACTACTATTTGTGATCATTTCTTCTCACGAGAAACTCGATATCTCAATCACAATAGTAAGTGGGTCATGCTGATGAATGCGAATACTCGCTCGGGCCAGCAAAGAATGGATGAAATCACAATAGAAGCAATGATAAGCAAGGTATATGGAAAGTTCATGGCCAAAATTGAAGGGCACTTTGAAAAAA